ATACAGAAAGGAAATCAAGAGCATACGATTTCAAAAGTCACTTGAGTGAACAAGCAAGAATGATTTTTATTGAGCTAAGGGAAAGTACCACCTATATTTCATCCGTTCAGATAATACACTGTCTGGTTGCAAAAGAAATTCTGCATCAGCTTTCAGGGAATGAACCTCAAAGTCAACTTGCAATGACTCTTCTTCAGGAAAAGACACTCTTTGAAAACAGATTTGGACGAGAGGAATTCAAAAAGTTCATCAGAGATCTGTTTATTCGACGTGATAAAAGAAGCAGGGGCGACAATACTGACACTCTCTTCTCCCCATTCATTGAACATGTCTGTAAAGCTGAAGACTGTGAAAAAGCTATCGCTGTTTTAAAAGCTGCATATGAACTCCTTGGAAAAGATCCCTTTTTCGCCCAGCAGCTCGCCAGACTGCATTACAACAATGAAAAATTTAAAGATGCAGAACACTGGGCAGGGGTTGCAAAATTTCATTTGCCGAATGATTCTTTTATTTTAGATACAGAAGGTCAAGTTTACAGGAAGTGGTTTAGTTTCACTGTGGATAAAATGACAGAGGGGGACACTCCTGAAAGCATCATTCAAAAGATCGAGATTGCTCTTAAAGCTATGAAATGCTTCAGGGCTGCACAACAGGCTGCAAAAGCAGAACGTGACAGCATGAACAACGCTGGCTATTTTGGAGAAGTAGAAGTAGGATGTCGTCTCCTTAGATTTTTGTCCACAGTCCATGTATTTCGCAGAAATCCAGAGGGGGAATATTCCGAGCTTGTGAAATACCTGATCACAGATTACATTCCTGAAGACATTAAAAAAGCATGGGGAAGGCTTCACTCCCGCCTCAAAGGCTTACGCCAGAACCTGTACAATGCTCTGGAATGGATTTCGGAAGACCTAAGTTATTTCCAAACAGATAAAAACCACGAGAAGGAAGAGGAAGATGAGAAAGATGAAAAGGAAGAACAAATTTATAATCCTAGAAAATGGCTAAAGAGACAGTCTGAGGTATACGCCAAGTTCTTCATCTCAACATCACTTAGCGAGGACAGCAACGGTGGCCCCGAGAGCCAGCTGACTAGACGCATGAATATTTATAAGAGTGGCGGAGGTAGCGTCACTAATATCCTGTCATTCTTAGCAGATAAGAAAGAGCATAGGTCAGCTGAAAAGGTAGAAAAGATCCTTAGTTTCTATACAGAAAACCCACTAAGGGACAGGCTGGAGGACAACGATCTGATCAATTATATTTTGTGCCACATCACATTAACATGCTTAGCACCAGGATCAGCCAAACTTCTTCCGCTGCAAACTCTTCGTGAGCTCAGTGTAAGATTCTTTAAAGGAAAAAGAGCATTTCCAGCAAGCGCCCATTTTTTGCTCACCTTGCTGTACTGGCCAGATGAGGCATTAGACAAAGAGCCCAATCCAGATAAAGACGAAATTCTAAACTCAGCCCTTCAAACTCTGAAACGTTTATATGACATCAAGATGAAAGATGTTCCTACCAGAAAGAAAAGAATCTACACCCACTTTTTTCTGGGAAAGGGTTATGGCTTAGGTAAGATTGTGCACAAAACTAAAATTGACAAGTTAATTACTGGGTCCTTAGATGAGAAGAGAATGAAGTGGCTACATGGAAGTGTATGGAATACCACCGGGATTCATGACATTCTCAAGAGAGTTTCTGGTTGGACCAAGGACAGAAATTTATTTATACGTGGTCACGTGAAGGCATTCCCTATCTTGCCACTCCATCGTGATTCAGTGCCCCCTGGAAATGAAAATGTGACCTTTTATTTAGGCTTTTCATTTAATGGTCTTTGTGCTTTCAATATTGAGGTTGAAAATAGCCCGATGGTCAGCAGAATACAAGCTATTTAGTACATTAACAGTACCTACTGTGCTGTTACAAGATATGGCACTGAGTGTCCATCGTCACATTTAAAACAAAAAGTGGACTGCACTGGCTGAACACCAGGTAGCAAGATAACCACACTTAACTACTGCAATAACGACCAAGTATCTAAAAAAATTTGAAACCTACTAGTAAAACGTACCTTGAAACAGAAGCCTTTGATAGTTTTGGAGTCACCAAAAGCAAGATTTCAAAGTTAAGACAGCAATAATTGCAATATTTGCTTGGGGACTGGGGGGGGGGAGACAAAAGACCTCCCCCCAGTATTTGGAGAACTGAGCTCTGGAATAAACAGGTATAGCGGGGATCTCTTTCTTCTCGGCTCACAGATTAGGATTTTAAGTTAATTTCTGGGTGGTCCTGATCAATAACAGAATTTGTCCACATAACCGTACGTTTTTTCTTCTTTCTGAATCAGCAACAAAAAGTTTCAGTGAACTTACAACAGGTATACTACACTGGCTGTAACATACTTCGCTCACTAACACGTACCATGTATGAAATACATCTACCCATCAACTGCAAGCCAGTATCCAGTATAGAAGCACAGAGGGAAAGTAAGCAATTTTTAAGCTGACTTTGCAAACATCAGGATTGATAAAAAACAGGTCTCAAATTTTACATCACTCTTACATTGCTTCTCCATGTAAGTATTACAAACTGTACTAGTAGGTATGTCTGTATCTGGGGAGGGGTGCAGAGACACGCGAGCAGTTAAGACACTGATGACATAAAAGATTATTTGTAAGCGCTGTTATGATTTCATAGTCCAAACAATTCCTGCACTTGGCAAAATGTTTTGCAGCATTATCCAAAAAATGCCCACACAGTACAATTCAAATTTGTCTATTGTATATATCCATGCTTGGAAACATTATTTGTCTAGCCTGATATACTAATTTGAAAAATGCAAAGGAGTTTGTCATCAGCCTTGTGTCTGCAACCATCATGTCACATTACGCTTCCAGTAATAAAGCTGCCTGTTATTCTTGGACTTTCCCATTGCTTGATACTGATAGTTACTAAAATTTCCAGAAAACCTGTCATATAGCTTAAGTTTTAATCTAATAAACAACCTTTAAGAAGAATTACCATTTCTACACAAGCTTAATTATCCTACCTGAAGATGTAGTTCTAACAGTAGCAAGGTATGATTTGCTTTTCCAACTTCTGCCAAGATCTGGGCACAGCCGAAAACTGTAAAAGGAATTGCAAGCCACTACGAATTCAGGACAAACGATGTCTCAAACAGGATGAAACCAAAGACCATTTTGTCTAGTCCAAGCCTTCACCATCTGGCCTCAGGAAGCAGAAACAAAGCTTGTGACTGCTGGCCAGGCAATACTTGTCTCCTTCCCCTGCCTTCAACCTGGAAGACACAACAGCAAAGTAGACTCTTGGCGGGCTGCCCTTTTTGCTTGGGAAATCCGCAGACTTCACCAGGGTTAAGTGAACGCTTAAGGGTTAAGCTTAACCTTAAGAGGGTAAGCACATCAAAGGCAGCTTTCCCCAAGGTGAGCTAGGAAGGTACGTTGAAGGAGCAAACCATGACAGCATCTGAACTGCTAGGAGCAAGGGAGCTGGGGTGCTAGAGAAAGCCCCCTCTGTCCCCCATCCCTGATGCAGGGGACAGGGAGGGGGCTGTGTATGTTTGAAAATTTAATTGGGCAAAGGCAGCTTTCTTCAGTCTAGCATGGAGCATAAGGATGGCTTCAACCCCGAGCAGAAAGAGGATGTGCAAACTTACTGAAAAGTGTAGGAGCTAAAAGAAAGCATTAACTACTTAACAGTTTATACAACCTGCTCAAATGCTGTGGCAAAAGCATAGCTTTTGTTTTCAAAAAGAAACTGTTACCATGACGAAAAATTAAAGCCAGAAGACTGGGCCAAGAAGATCCGTCTCATAACTCGTTTCCTTCCTGCCTGCAGGCACACCCGATTTCATACTGTAGTTACGCTATCCTTCGCTGTGTAACCCACACCACCGCAGACTCTTGAGCCTTTCCTCTGAGGCCTAAGTAGGGGTCTTACTTTTCAAAGATACCCATTTCTACCTCTTAGAAACTAAAGGCTGAGATCCAAACTCTTTACCTCATCAGGATATTATAAACACAATCCTCCCCCCATGCCCCGCATAAAAAGCATAAACCTGCAGACCAGCACTCGGAGTCCTGCATTGCAAAACAAGCTACTGAGGCTCACAGGGCAGAAAGTACAGACCCATCCTTCTTGCTCTTTACCCAGTCATATTCAATTCCCCAAGCATCTGATAAATCAAACTTGGGAGTGCTTTAACCGGCCAGGCAACACCCAAAACCCCTTGCTCTAGCCAGCTTTTAGGACAAAGCAGTTCCCATTTTTCAAATGCCCCCTCAGATTTCCTGAGAGCCGAAAGGGCGAGAAGACAAACTCCATTAAAGAGCTCATGCAAAGTAGTAGTCTTCCTCAAAGGGTCCTCTACTTAGTGTTAAGCTCCTTCTCACTACACATATCCAACTCAAAATGCCATGAATTGTTCCAGGTTGTGTAGCATTAAAACAACGGATCTACCTTCCTTTTACCACCTCTTAGAAATTAATCTATGAGTAAACAGTGGTAGCTAAATGAGACCAACTGGCATAGCAGACAGGAGTTGCAAGGACACACATCCTCAAAGCTACCTCCTCTCTCCAGCATTCTGCTCTAAAAGGGTTTAGAACAGATCACTTAACAGCATGCCCTCTCTTACCAGGTTTTATGAAAGTGCTATTAAGATACTTTCCTCCATATTCCCTGACTCTTCCAACTTAAATCGTCAATTTTTTTGTAGTCAGTTCAGCAGAAGGACAGCAGATCAGCAGCAAAAGGAAGTTACAGGTTATGAAGTCAGGATTCATTTGCTTGTCTCCAGGTATAATGCTCACATGAATGAGTTTTTGTGGTTTATAGACAATCAGGAGAGCTAGTACAAAGTTATTCAAACCGTAACATGAGTGAAGGTGGATTTTATACTTACTTTGGAACAGCTATCATTCGTTGCAATAATAATTTAAATAGGTCCTCAAGAGGAGAAAAAATACACAGAAACAGTGGTTCACTTCTGTTTAATCAGAGACTGTTACAAAGTAGCAGACACACATTACAGATGTGTATATGTGCAATGATCCATTCCTGAAGCATACAGTTCATAGAAGGTTCTCAGTGGATGCAAATGATGTTAGCTCCGTATTTTCTTTGAATCTTCTCTGTAAACTGAATGCTATAAAATTAAGCTAGTTACTGTTACTACTATTTGCATGCATTAAAGTGATGCACATACTTACCAGTCTGTCACTTTCTCAAATTAAGTTCAACATCAATACTTTGCCACCCGTCTTTTGAAAAAGATCAACGATCCCATCCCTTTCATACTACTTACACAAAAGCAGTATCAAGTTATGGAAAAAACCTTCATGACACACTAACTTCTGTGGCTGCACTGCTACTCAGAGGGGACATAATTCAATCGTGCTTTAAGGTACCTTTAAGAAGGTGCTAAAAACAGTTTGGAGTCTGGGTTCGCTGCACAGTGACCAGAATCTCTGAAGGGGTGATTCAGAGTCATCAGGCAGAAGTCTAGAAGGAAATACCATGAACTGATTCACTGTTCCATATATACCGTACCAGAACTGGGAAGGAAGACTTCTGAACCACATTAGACTGTACAGCTGCTGTAACGGTGTATCAGAAGTTGAGCTACAACTTAGACTGCTCACCTGGTTATGAAAGCTCAGATTCCTAGTACTGTTTTGGTCCCGTCTCAAAAGAAAATAAACTTAATTCTACCAAAAAGTACTGTAATGAATTGCCATAAAAGATATGACTTTCTACAAGAGTTCATATTAGGATCTACCCTGGACAAAGACACTTTTTATTGATAAGACACTAGAGAACACCACTACCCTTTAGTTATCCCCAATGATCGCCAAGCTGGTGTTACAAGTAGTGCAGGTCAGCATCCAACCACTGTCAAAACTGAGACTTCACAAAGTAATTCAGCAGCCAAAAGCAATCAGTTACTCATTCCGACTTATTATGAGCATTGCATTAAGTATCAACTAGGGTCAACCACAGAAGTTAAAAGAAAGATGCATTCATGCTGTTAATAGGATAATGGCCTCACAGCAAGGTATCCCTATTACTCATGCACATCTGCCATTAAGATTTAGGAAATACAGGCAAAGGTAAGTTATAAATTTTATTATATAACTTTCCTTTTTTTTTCTTCTAGGAAGAAACACCTATGCAACATTATTCAAAAATTGGCATGTAGCTAGTTTTGCAGATAAAGCAATTTAGTGTGAATGACTGAGAACTGATGTAGAGAAGATGCCAGGAGACAGGCTTCAACTGCAACTATTCTAAAACCTGGGAAGATACAATCCCCTTGAAACTTTTTATGTTAGTATGACGAATTCTGCAGCGTCACATAAGATTTCAAAATTCTAAAATAAGCAATACTGCTGGAAGCGTCAAGTCACTCATGAAACTACTCTAGACCATACAGATGAGCTGGCAAAACTATTCAAGTGTCTGTTCAGCTACCACACTAGTATGATCTTTCCAATGCCTAGTTTCTATATCCACCAATAATGTCAAAAGACCCTCAAATTCACCATGTGATAACATGCCCTTGAGAAGTGAATTAAAGCACAGGAGTTTTACAGCTCATCCAGCTGTGAAACTATGCTATGTGCCACAGCACAGAAAGTCTTCATCTCCCATGCTGATATGTAGAGATGAGGTACACAAAGCTTAAATAAAAATAAATGTATGTAGCTATTCTGGAAAAGGTTGCATCTTTTACCCAATCACAAAGAATCTCTCCTATTTTGAGGTGTAAAATATTCTATAAAATAAAAATAAAATGCCAAAATTTCCACGAATATGGAATAGGGTAGAAGGAAAAAAGAACAGAGGCAGAGCAGTAACTCTGGAGTAAGATAAAACAGCTGGGCAAAACCTCATTTGTAGGTAGCCCCTGAAGTGCTGAAATGGGCCAACAAAACAAAACGAAAAAAATCAGAGAACAAGAAGCTCCTGGCTTACAGGCCTAACAAAGTAAAAATCTGTTGGTAGGAGACAGTAATTAGCAATAGCTAACAAAAATGGAAAAGATTTACATTACTGCTACGGATTCTTACAAACAGAAATGCTTATTCCCCAACACAACAAATACAGTATCCTATAATTGGTTCACTGATAAAACAGCCTCTTTTATAATAGGCATGTTACTGAAGAAGTGACCTCAACTTTAGATCTTCACACTTTTCAATAACACCAATGGCTATTTCTTAAGGTTCCGTATTAAATTTTCCTTAGAAGTGCTTGCAGATATTACCTACCCACAAGCGTAGTTAAAACCATTACAGATCTTCAAAAAAAATCTAGACGTTCACTCACTACTGAAAACAGTAGTAGATAACAGATACATTCACATTTCAGAGACCAAAATTCCCCTCGCATTTAAGTGGTATCATTTGAACAAATTATTTCAAATAGGAACATCAGGTACTTACAGATTAAACTAACCTGTACTGGCAGTGCTGTGGAATTTTTCTTCTCTACCAGTAAGTAGCAAATGCTGAAATTCTGCTGCTAGTTAACAGAAACACAAATTGTATTAAACCAAGGAGTTTAACCCATAGTTTAGTTTTTCATTAAAAAAAGCTGCCAAACTTCAATTATGGCAATTTGTTGCTTAAGAAAAGCATATGAAGTAAAGGCAACTATAAAACTACTTTCAATTTGCCCTTTACTTTTCTGATATTTTTCATACATAAGCCAGAAGTTTAACAAGGTAATCCTGTTGCCTGCCACAAACATAAAGGAAATTATAATACTTACATCGCCAGGTTCCTTCATTAAACAGTCTCAAACTGTGTTTTCATATTCTAGACTTTACAAATGAAAGAGCAAAATGTATTTTCTTCCACTAAAATTTATGGGAAAGAAGCTAAAGAATTCAGTGTAAGTAACACATATGCAAGTAACTCAATGAAAAAAAGAGAAAGAAAAAAGCTCTGCATGACATCTTTATCTCAAAGCATTACATAACTTTGTAAGTTGGGAGACAGTGAAATAGCTTCCTTTGGTTGTATGGCATTAATTTCTGGTAATTCAAAATTGCTGTTAGCAAAAATCATTTATACATATTGGCTACTAAGGGTAGCAGAAGTTGAAATTCTACACACACACCCTTTCTGAATAGCACCTGGGAACACGGTTAAGATTTAGACAAAATTTAAGAAATAAAATTTGAGATGTCAGAAGCCTGAATGTGGTATAAGGCAGTTAGCAGTTAAAGTATATCTGTCTGTTAGCTAACAAGAGAAGTTTTTAAGGAAGCTTCAAGCTCTCAAAGTTGTGTGTTCGTTTGTTTTCAGTTAAGATGATACTGGCATTAAAATTCTATTTTCTGAGAACTTTTAAACTTCTTTAAATCCCCAAGAAAGAAAAACCTTAAGATAAGTTCAAGACAATATTTACGGAGACATTAAATTCATTGTCATTACAACAGCACTGCTGCCGATTGTTCCTACTGCAAGAAAGCCCGTAAGAATAAGACAAGTTATTGCAAGCACCTCACTATTCACAATCGTGATCGGGTGTATAAATACTAACCCTCACACACAGTGCGTACCATGAACAGTCAATACTGACTCATCAGGATGCTAAGAACAAACAACTGAGGATAACATCCTGGATCCTGTGGCTCAAGACAGGACATGGCTGTCTGCAAAAGCAGCAAGCTAAAGTGCCTGGCTCCCTCAAACAGACCTTCACAAGACAAAGTGAAAATGCATTTACTATACAACAGAATCTACAAATACCGTACTCAAACTGCATTTTCTTCTAGTAGAGCCTTAATGAGAATCTGCTTTCTGAAAAATCAAAAGACTGCATAAAGCTGCTGTTTTCAACGTGTAAGAAAACTCTCACGAAGTTTTCTTCAGAACTTCAGAAGAATGTTATATACATTACACTTCAGAATCACTTCAATTCTATCGCGATCCCTTCAAAGGCTGCCTCAAAACTTTTCTTGCTCTAAACTAGTATCTACCTACCCCAACTATTACAGGAAAATATGGTAGTCACGGATACCTGCATTTTTATAGAACCCAGTCACTACCATTATTTCACTGGTCTGATTATTTTGATTGCAAGTACACATACTTTTTAAAAACATTCTTCTGGAGGTAGCCTATTCCTCAGAGTATTTAAGGGCTACAATCTTCATTAGGCAAAGCACAGAACACATTATGAACTTATCACACAATTCTAAAGCAAGCCAAAACTTCATGCGTGGTACATACTTTATTTGCCACATCTCCCATTCACTTCTCTTGTTAAAAACAGTGGGTGCAAATTCACCCAATTTAGCAGAATATCAGTAATTCTTGCCCTTTAAAAAAAAAAAAAGGTCATGTACCTCCACTTAAGCTTAAAAAAAACCCCACCAAACTCCCCAAGACCTACTTCCATTAATATCTGTAAAAGTCAAGTCACTAAAATACTATTGTCCTTAGAAAAGAAATTCCACAAATGGTGAGATGTACAACTTTGTGATACACAGACTGCTGCAATACTGAGAGCTGCAATTCTGGAATGTCAGTAAAAACACACCACCGTCCCTCAAAATAAAGTGTAAATTTTCTTTTTGGAACTATTCCCCTTAGATCCACACAAGGAGGGAGGGAGGAAAATGTCACTAACAGAACTTCACAGAAAGAGCAAAGTATGAACCATTTGCACTAGATAAGAATTTTACAGGCCAGCTGGTCTAATAGCTGAGGAGATACTCCCAGCAAAAAGCACAGAGCCATTACGCCATCCTTGACTAGAAAGACAGCAGCACTTGCACACGTATCTTCAAGGACAAAACACAACACAAATGAAAAATGCACAGCATTACTTGCTGCAAATTTAAGGACAAACATTAGTCTGTGGTAACAGATCAGAGTAACATGAATATAATCTGCTAAAGCTACCAACTCCCAAAGAGGGAACAAAAAACACCTGTTGTGTCCAGTCCTTCAGAGGCTTACAGAAAGGACAGGAATGTAAAGGATGAAAGTGAAGGATGTGTGAACTACCCACCAGAAATTGCAAGCAATATTTGCAGTGTAGCAGGAAAACCCAGAGTCAAAACCCCCTTTAATTCATACAGTAACACCCCGTGGAACTGTCTGAATGTCAAATGCATCTTTCAGAAGCAGATAGTGTGAAATTAATCTTCTTGGAATTGTCTAAAAGCAGCTTCAAGAAAAAAAAAAATCCATAGCAATGTGGTGCTGAGAAACGCTATGTTTTGCTCACAAAACATGCCAAAACACAAAGAAATGGTTCATTTGCTCCCAAGCATTAGTATACAGAGCTTAAACAATGACACAGTGAAAACAGGAACTGCATTTTGGACACATTTTTTCCATTAACATGTCAAACCTAGTTATCTTCAACAAAAACAGATCAAAGCAATTTCTCTGAATTTGAAAACTTTTAGCTCTCACCAGGGTATCAATTTATAAGATACAACCCAAGTGTGGATCTAAGTAGGGTACTCCATTGGACGCAAGACAGCATATGTATCTGAATTTTAGCTTTGTGTGCTTGATGACAAGCTGAATATGAGTAGCTAGATAAAAACTACCTAGTGCTGCATCGGTCTTAAATGGAAACTGATAAAAGTTCAGTATCAGGCATTTGAAATATGCCTATTTTTCATTTTGAGTCTCTAAGAGATTCAGACACTTAAAGCAAGAAGTACAAGCCATACTGCATATTATTTTTGGTTAAACTTGTTTCCTTAGATATTCTAGGGAAATAAGAACTAAGCCAAATGCTCCTATAGACTGAGTATGTGAAACAAATACTAGTTGCAGTAGCGTGTCTTGAAGTGTTGCTCTCATCTTCACTGTTATCAAGGGTAGCACCACAATGAGAATTGGAAAAGCAAGGCCATGCTCAATAATAATTTTGAAACAGCTGAAAGGTCATGTCAATTTTCCAGTCAGACTAGACGACTGGGGGGGGGGGGGCTTTTTAGA